AGTGCCGGTCGAGGTGTGCCCGGCCGACATCGAACTGTCTCGCGCATGCGCACGCCGACAACAACAAACAATCCCGTCTGTTTTCAGCCGTCAACGTTATTGACAAAACCTTAGCAGCCTTCATATCGTATCAGTTGAAATTGAATTTTCTTCATTTGCGTACTATTCAATGTTTAGCGAGACGAATTATAAATTTGTTTTAAATTTTTCGATTACGAAATAATTGAATAAATAATAGAATGTAAGGAGCGAATGTAGCTAGTTCTTTCAGTATGCATTTATTATGACCGAGCGCTAATAAAAGCAACCCTAGCTGAAAAAAGGGTAGGATGGTGGAATTTATTGTACCTTTTCCAACATTTACCTATCCAAACAATAGCATGGCAAACTATTCGTGGTTTTTCCATATAAAGCTGCCTTAAAAATGTAGTGTTTTCATTTACTGTAGTTTATTGGTACACGAAGTAAACCAGCATATTACTTGACACGTCAGAAACAGGAGTACTCTACTACCTGCGGTAAGCGGTGGGTATTGGGTAAAAGTAGTAGTTAGTTAGTTGGCAACGCATTTGTAGTTCCTTTAGTGTTGCGGATGTCCATGGACATCGTTGACCACCTATGTGTTACCGCCGCTCGTTTGCCCCGTTCTCTTATAAAAAAAACTATCGAAACGAAAATTAATTTGAATGTCAAAGTGAGAATTTTGTTAATTTAAAAACGCTAATGAGTTTTGCCTTTTTTTTCATTTCATTAAAATGTTATCGTAATTCAATACGTTTAAAAAGGCCGATAATATTCCGGTAACGGGGGACCGGTTAAAAGTATATGGTACATAACATATGTTCATTTTTATACTATCACATTCATGTATCAAATATTTCATTGAAATTATTCTGATTGAATGATTACGTGAATATTCATACATTAAAAGTTTATTTATCTTTAACATTACACAAACTTCAGTACTTTATGAACAAAAGTTTTCTTTTTAAGTTTGATTAAATAGGTATAAATAAAAATAAAATAAAATAGACTAACATTGAATCTTATTACCACTACAATACAATTTGGAATAAGAGAAAAAAAACACACAACAAAGTAATTAAAAAAGAATAAAAAATAAACACGTAATTACAGGACAAACAAAATAATTAAATATGTATACAGTGCTGACCGGATTGGGTCCTCGTATACCGATTTTTATTGATAAAATACCTATATAGGCTTCTTGTAGGAAATCCTAAAGCACAGATAATGTAATACTTTAATAGTAAAGTCAATAAATTAAGATAATTGCATTTTTTTCTGTTTTCTTTTTCTTTGTGGTTTTTTAAGTACGGCCAGGCCTTGGAAATAAAAATTTTAGTATAGTCACATCGGTGTTATATTTAAATAAATAAATATAAACAATTTATAAGTAAGTAATAAAATTAAGTAGTGTCACTTAACCACGCCACTTCATATATTTCCTTAGGGTGACCATAAGTTTAGTTTTTATCGGATATTATATAAAATTATTAAATTGCTACAAATAAAAATATATTTAATTAATTGTGAAAAAAATAACTCTCACCAGCGCCAAAAATCCATAAGGAATTAATAAACGTTGTGTTCTTTTTATTAATCATCAACGTAATATATGGCTCTATATTCAGATAAAACGATTTTTATCTCATTATATGTTCAGTATTTCTTGCTGGCAATCTTGACCACCATATCAAAATTGTAAATTAAACAAAATGACTTTTACGAGAAACATATTTATTGAATAATTTTATACAGAATGTTGTGTATAGTGTTTAAATTTTAAGAAAGCTATGTGAAGATTCAATATAAAAATAAATGATTACGTGCTTATTATATTTAGATTAGTGCTTATTAGATTTATTTTTACAAACATCATGGTCACACCGCACAGGCGTAAGTTACTCAATGAGTCATGTAATTCCGAATTACTACTGTAACTTAAACCAGCATTTTAATATTTAATGTCAACGGAGTATTGGTTACTTCGAGGTCTGTTCCGATAACAATACAGCATTTATTTATTTTACAGTTTCAATTTACATCAAACATTACAAACATACTTAGCAATTTTGTTGCTGTGACCGTCAATTGTGTCCGGTTTCAAATTCCGTTTTATTATTAAAACGGTTCCGGAAATAAAATCAATACTCATTAAAATGTATTGTCCGTTATTGAATTTTTTTATTTGTGCCACTAGATGGTGCTTTAGGGATCTATCTTTTTTATGAATGATATGATAAAGACGCTTTCCTAATCGTAAAAAAAATTTCAATTCATACAGTGGTTATATAGCTTGGAATCACTAAAACCCGTGTAATATAATGTCTGTTATAATAAAAACAATTTATGAGTGAAAAACAACAAAAATAAAGCCAACGCAATTGTACTTTTTTCCACTCGTAAGCAGAACGGGTTTTAATTTTTCACAGAAAACCGCCACGAACCTACCATTAATATTACCAAACACATTTGAGTTTAATCTAATCAGTTATTACCAGTCCTTGTTAACGTTCCCATTGCGAGCTACGTCACTGCAAATATGAACACAAGCTTTACTTGCTGAACCGGCACTTGGTAAACCTTTCTGTTATCCATTTGGTCAAGGATAAAGGATTTAACTTGATACACATTGCTACACAAACAATACGATTCCATCAGATATGCTGCTATAATCCGAGGGTGTTCAATTGCCGAACTGCCTTTAGTAGGTTTCCGATTATCTCAGGGCACATTATTGAAACGAATTTCAAGCATCCCTACAATTTGTAAAATTTTCAGTCTTTTGTGTGGTGAGGTGAATATCTATGTGCAACTAGTTTTTCAACCTTTAAAAAGAAGGTTTATTATTATATTTCATTGCTTCATTTAATAGAGATATAGAGAATTGTTATTAAATAAACATTAGACATTTATATCATATTCGTTGACTTATTTGGAAAGGTGAGCTTTGAGGGCAAGAATCAACCACGAGATACTAAGATAAGATCAAAAAAAAATATTAAAAGTTAATGATGGTGGTGCCATCTATCTTTTAAATTAAGACAGTCAACAGAATGTTTACAATGTCACCGCTAGTTAATTCCGCTATCAGTTACCATCTGATTTTTATTAAAATCAACAAATCATTACAGTTATAAAATGGACAGGAAGGTCCAAAAACCTCAACATTTAAAAATAAAGTTCAATGTTGATGGTGGACTAATAATGTCAACCTTTTGCTTTTTTGTAAAATATAAATTTGACGTTAACTGTCAATGATTGACACACCGATACGTCATTGTCAAAATAATGGAAAATGAAACAGTTGTATTGTGTTTTATGTGAATAAAAATAATATTCATTTTATCTGTCTTATTGTTAATAAATTGCATAAAATACCAAAGTGGTATTTAAGTGAACTTGTAAATATGTCTACATATTACGAAAGACAGAAGAGTCTATTTAACACTTTAAAAGATGCTGAAGAGCAGTATAGCTTTTCGAAAACAAATAAGGTCTCCCCAGATACAGATTATGGAGTTATCGATAGATGTGCTTACCGAAAACTGAAGCACGAAATGAAGAAATTTGTCGGTAAAGAAAGCATATTTAAACGGCCAGAAGCAAAACTGCGCAATTGTCTACGTTCAAAAACGGTACCTGATCATGTAAAGAATCCTGATAAATGGGTTTATTACACATTATCAGACGTGACTGCTGAACAAATGTCTGATGCCACCAACACTGCGACTGCGTTAGCGCTGATACGTGAATTAGAAGAAAGAAATAGTGAAAAGCATACTATGGATGACGATTCTCATGAAAGCTTTGTATTTAAGAAGCCTATTTTCAAAGCGTCTAAGACACTGAAGGTCAAACCTGTTGAAGATGAAGAAAAGCCAATAGTAAAGCCAAATAAAATCATAATGCCAGAATATGTTGTTGGTGTATCAAAGAAGAAAGAAAAGAAAAACAAAGTTCAAGTATCAAATGAAAACCCAGACAGAACAAAGAAAGTAGAATTAAAATTAAATCATCTCACAGACATGGGTGATGATTGTGATGAATAATTTTATAATTATAGTTTTTACTTGATTTTTGTTATTTTTTTCACATGAACCTACAAAATCTTCCTAAGCAGTCCTAACTTGCTTGACTAATTTACTTTCATACAAAAAAATGCAGTAGCTTGCAATATTTAACATAAATGCAAATATGTATTTGGATGGATGTTACTATGATCTCCAAAACAGCTCAATGGATCTTAGTAAAGTTTGGCATAGATACACGTCTAATTTTTTTTAAATTTGTTGCTAGGGTTGTTGTAATGATAGTTGTTGTAAGACTTTGAAATAAAACAATAGTTACTTGTCAATTATTTATTATGATTTAACACTGTGACACAATAGCGGACTCAGATTTAATTTCCAGATTGTCACTATCTGTCTTATTATCCACAGCAAAAGTACTAAGGTCTCTCATCATGGAAAATGCATCCTCTCCATCCGCATAATATTTAGGTTCAATTTCAAGAATTTTAAAACCTAAAGAGTTTGTGTAAAGATTGAGAGCTGCTCTGTTGCTTTTTCTCACATGAAGTGATACATATTTTGCCTGCAAAAAATAATCTGTTATATTAAACATTTATTTATATTTTAATTATATTATATTTATGTATATTTTAACAGTGGTAGAGCCTGCTTTATCATCTTCACAAGAATGGGCTGCCTCGCCCAGTGCAATACCACAGCCATACAGGTTACTGTGTATAGTGGAAGCCAATTGTCATTGTTTTGTCTGGTAAGTGTGCAGAGTGCTAACTTTAGTCCCTTTCCATAACCACACCAGAGCTACAATTTATGGTAAAATCCCAATTGTTTTTAGTAAAACACTATTCCTTAACTATTTACAACATGAGCTACCCTTATTCTACAATCTCACTTAACATTATCTCAAAATTTTTGACAAAATAATCAAGAAAGTAATTTGCTGCTGTTTTTTTAAATAGATAAGAATAAATAAAAATATTCTTAATACAAAAATAGGTGTAGGAACAGATAATTACTTAAATTTAGACAACCACATTATTAATAGCACATTTACAACTTAAATGTAGAGTCTAGATCTTTTTTCTTATTAAATTAATCTACATCTGAAATATTAAATGAACTTTTACGATATAAAAAAGTAATTTATTAACCTGGAAACATTCAACCATGGCAAGTGATGCTTGGTTCATAAGTTTTTGTGCAAGGCCGAGGCGCCTGTGTGATCTCTTCACTGCTAAGGAAGTGATATGTCCATGACGATTATCTTCACCATCTTCCTCCATTTTTGCCAACACATAGCCTGAATAAAAAAGATCAACTTTAAAATCATCTAAAACATGAAAAGATAAGTAAATTGACTAGCATGAAAAATTAAGAGAATGCTTTTCACAACATGGTATTAATGACTTTAATTAATAATTGTAGTGTAAATCATATACAATACACATATTTTCATCTACATTAAATACATATATAATACAAATATGTATTGGCTATCATTCAGTTCAAGTGTAGCCAATGCCTCACATTTTCAAGCAAACCATACAGCCATCATTTTTTGAAAACCATTCAAGTTCCCCTTTAACTCAGTGTAATTATCCACATAGTAACACTTACCTACAATGTGTCCTTTTTCATCTTCAGCTACATAGCTCAGTTGTGGCCACGAAAGGCCATGATAGAAGTAATATTTCATCTGATAATTCTCAGGTAGACACAGCAAATTGCAATGCTGCATATTCATAAGATCATTTGGACGTGCACAGCGTATATTCATTTTGACCTGTACAATAATAACTTCTGATATAAAATAAAGTAACTTGTTTACAAAAGATAAATACAATTTTGATGTTTATTCTCTTCTTGATTTTTTTGTTTTGTTAGGTTGCCTCGTCTCTGACGCCGGGGGCGTATCAGACATTCCCCCGAGCAGTTCACGAACAAATCGAAATTTAGACAAACAACACTTCCATACAACGTACCAACCTAGAACAAAGACAAAGGACCATGCATAAAAAGAATTCAAAAATATTTACATAGCATATATGAGATTTTATATAGCTGTTATACCAAACAAAATACTACTTACAAAACAACACAAATACAAAAACTAAAATTACACTACATACGAAGGTTAAGATAGCTAATATCACTTCCTTCATATCCGACTACTTAAAAGATAATACCATTAACTCGGCAATAACGTAGAATATCACTTTCTTGTCAATTGTTAAAATTGAATAATAAACAAAGCCATAACAAGGGATGTTACGTGAGATAAATAATAACTACGATTAGTGTGTCTAATGAGATAAAGCGAGCAGCGCCATTTTGGCACTTATTTAGACTGATGTACGTGCAAGTAAACAATAAATCAATAAGTTATTACTTATTTACTTCTATATTCCTTTAGGTGATCTAAACAAATATTAAATAAAATCGTACGTATGAAATCTTCCCGTCAACTTCTATTTGCTTCCAAAAGAATAAGACAAGGCGCCTAACCTAAAATTTGAAATCAATTAAATGTCATTTATTTTTTGACAATTTAGTCTTTTACAGTTAAAAAAAAATACTGTGGAATCTTACAAAAAGATACTATATCAATAAATAAAACACTGTATAGTTGTATGTTATACATTAATAAAAATTATATAACGTACTCTTGTAACATGTGCAATAAAACGGATCGTGGATGTTAGTTTGGAGTTTCGTTCTATGACGAAATAGAGCTAAATAAAATAAGGTTTCCCATCGAGGAACTATTCCTTCCAAAATTAGAGGCATATAGAACTTTTACAAGGTATTTTTGAATTAAAGAGAAAACACACACTTTCAAAATTTTATTTTACTATTGAACGCAGCATGACAATTGGAATGCATTTTTAAAACTAAAAAAACAAATGTCAATGTCATTTTTCAATTGTTTTTTTGTGGATGCTAAGAAATTAGAATGTTTTGGAGAATTAATAAAAAAGAAACGTTTGTGTTAAATTGAAAATGGATACGAGTTTATTACCGTAGTATTGGTCACAGTTACACATGATATTGTTTTATAGTATTCATTTCGTAAAAACTTATCAAGCACAAATATTAGACCATGGATGAAGACCGCCAAGAATCGTAAGCTCTTTGATATGTTTATAATTATATAATTACAATTTAAAACATTAAATAAGTATATTAAAAAACAGGTACAGGAGTCCAGTATTTACAAAGGAAGAGGTTAATGCTTTGTTGAATATTATTGATAATTATAAAAATATTATTTTAAATAAATCAACTTCGACCGCCGCTAGTCACGCCAAGGACAGAGCATGGAACTCAATAGCCAAAGTTTTCAATACACAAGGCTTCAAGAATACTAGGAGTGTTGATAGCATTAAAAGAAAATGGGATAACTTAAAAAAAGATGCAAGAAAAGCAGCTAAAAATATAATGATGGTAAAACATGAAAACGATTCGTTTAGTCGAATTATTACGATGATGTTAGAACATGAAAAAAATGAGGATTCCAAACTAAGTCTTGAGAATGGATCAAATGGTTTGTTTTTAATATTTATTAGATAACTAGGTTATACTAAAGTTTCTATATTTCTGTTTATTTTCAGATGTAAATACAAAAGACAATGAAAATGAGATAACTATGGATTTTGATGAATGTGACAATGAAGAATCTGATTGTTCAGGTATGACATTACTATTTTCTTCAGATGTGGTAAAATTTAAATAATAATTGTTTACTAAAAACTAATAAATTGATTTCTTCAGATGGAGATATGCAGACAAATAGGTAAAGTATTTTTATATTAAGAATAAATTAACATAAAAAATGTATATGCAGAAAATAACTAAATTTGGTTTCCATTGCCAAAACGCATGTACAAAAACCAGGTTGTTGATTGTGGATATATCATACTAATATTATAAATGCGAAAGTTTAGATGGATGGATGGGTGGATGAAAGTTTGTTAGAGTTTGCAGCCCAAATGGCTGAATGGATCTCAATGAAATTTGGCATAGATGTAGAGGATAGTCTGGAAGAACACATAGGCTACTCACTTTTGTTTTTTTAAATCCACGTGGACGGAGTCGCGGGCGAAAGCTCGTAATAATAATAAAGCCATTCATTTCCTTATAGATTTACATTAAAGTATAAAAAACAATGTACTTATAACTAAGAACTGTTTATTGTGAACATAAGAAAAGTTTAATTATACACTTCTTCTAAAAAAGCGTTTTTTGTTTGTTTTTTGTTTATGTTAATTTTTGTTTCTTTTTTTAATAGTTTTCTTTTTTATTTTATTCTTGATTTTTTTTTATTGTGGATATGTATGGTAATAAGTCATAATGTTTCAGGTCAAAGAGATCATTGAATTTCTTACCACAAGAGTGCAGTCTGCTTTTGAAATGTGTTAGAGAAGAGAAAAATAATATATTCACTAAGGAAACTAACTCTAAAGCAAATCTTCTTAAAAATAGTGCATGGACAAGGGTATGTATTGAAATTATGTACCAAAAAACTGTATTTGTTAGTTACCCCATATCAACTATTGAGCAATTTATACCACTTTACATTACTGTAAAATTTGTTATTATTGTAAAAATTTTTTATAAGTAACTCTAATCTGTATCAACCTTAAAAAAAACTTGAGAAAAAAATAAGTTTTTTTTTAATCTACAGAACCCACTTAAAAACCATCGCTAGTTTACAATTATCTAAAAAAAAACTACTGTGATTTATACATTGAATGCTAGTATTGAAATATGTAAAAGTGATTAGGATGATTAGTTTGTGGCAGTCAATGTGTTAAAAGTGTGATTTTTTAACTGTTGCTTTTCTATACTATTATAATAAAGCATAAACACACACTTCTTTGTTGCCTAAGATGTCAGCAATTACAGCATGCTTTTGAATAATTCCTTTTTTAATAAAAAGTCCTACACTTACGTCACGCTTTAGGCATTATATTTTCACGCCATTAAACTTAGGGGGTAAATATTTTGGATAAAAACCCTAATGTGGGAAAGAGACCATACGTTGCTGCCAACATCAAGGAAATAAGATTGCTAAGTTTTGTCATGTCCTGTCATTTTGACATTTTAAATTGACAATTTAACACATGTAAATAATAAAATAATTTTATGCTGATGAAATCACACGGGAACAGCTAGTTTAAACTATATTGAAATCCAATACAGTAAAGTAATTGGTGTATAAAACATCTTAATGTGCAAAACAATTTTTTTCAATATTTCAGATTGCCGAGAACTATAATAAACAGAGCCTGCAGAAAAGATCGAGTAAAGTTTTACGTACGAGGTTTGAGAATATGAAAAAATCTGCCAAATCAGTTCATATGAAACAAAATCTATTGAACAATCAGCCTGACAATGTGGTAAAATTAATATATTTAGTGTTTGTCTATTAGTCAAAGTTTTACCACAATATATGAGTAAAAATACTTTAATGCTCTACACATTATTTGGCCACCTGAATCCACTGAAATGGAAAGAGACCGCTGCCCATAAACATCCGCAGTTTCAGATGCATTGTCTACCCTTAATTGATGTAGGAGACGCACATAAAGAGAATATTTCCCCTTTCTATGCGTCTCCTCCACCGTTAAATACACTTTTCCTTCCCATCCTTTCCTCTAAAGAAATAGGTGGAAAGGGAGAGGGACTAAAATTAGGTCTTTTCTTTATTAACATTAACTTTAACTGTCTTGCAATTTCATTAAAAAGTTTTTCACTTCACATATAAATATACTAACTATTCATGTAAGGCTTCATATGAATGACATTATAAAAAAAAATTGTTGTTTACTTTCCATAAAACTTTCATTTGAATATGTCAGAATTCAAATGCTTAAATAACAAAATGCCGTGAGAATATTAGTAACCATAGCAACCTTGCTTCTTTACTGCAACTTGAAATTTTTTTCACCTTGCAAAGCAATTTTTCCAATTTACTTACCTAGGAAGTTCAGTAAGTGGTCTGCGTTATATTAAGAATGAAATATATGCAACGACAGTAATAAATATGAGACAATATGTTATAGTAACAATTATGTAGTATTTATGTAAATTCACAACCATTGTATACTTAAAATAATCTATTTCAGAAAATGAAGACTGAACTGTTTGATGATTCGGATACAAATGAAGGGAATCCAAATGAAAGTATAGAAATTGAGATCTTCAGTTCTAATAAAAATAGTTACTTGAATAATGATCCTCTTGAGTCAGTGATCAATGATGACTGTGCAAATGGTAAGTATTACAAAAATATCCGAACATGCTCATTTTAAAAGTTTTGTGGAATGTAATTTTTTTTTTTCAGAAACGAATCATCCATTTAATCCCTGGTGCACACAAGATAGTAAAAATGTTGAGAACTTAAAATTACAGTTACTTAATTATCAGTTGGAAACTGCAAAGGTAAGACCAAGCTTAAAGTTTAATTGAAAGCCAAAAATATGTTTTTAACCACTTTGATAGTGTCCAGTGTGACGAACAACAAAAAAAAATCTACCAGACTAGTCTAGAGAGAAATATGTGTGATTTTGGTTTTGTTATGTTGGCAACATATAATATTTTTTTTGTACAAAAATCTCTGTTGAACTAAGGGTTTTAAAGTGATGTCCTCGTGACTTAGTTAAAATTTCATTTTGCAACATACTTTTCAGATATATGAAAAAATTTTCGTATAAATAAATCTAAGGGTTCAACCAAAGCATAGAGTAGAGAGAATTTTTATTACAAATCAAATTGAGCTTTATGGCATTGCAAAAAGATTTAATTTTACTTTTCATGTGGACTTGCCCTTGAAAAGACATGTAGAGTAAAATTAAACCTTCTATCAATCCTGTAAAGATCAATTTCATATGCAATAATCTTGTCTATATTCCAATGTGAATGGACACTAACCGCTTATAGAGTACAATCATACTTGTATTATATTGTTTCCTTAAATATTGATTTGTAATTTAGATGGAAAGAAAAAGGGTAGAGAATGCAATGCAGGCTGAACAAGCTGCATTTGAGTCTAGGACATTGGAACATTGTCTGAGAGTGCGGGCTGCGAGGCTGGAGGTGTGTGCGGCCCAGCACAAGTTGCCAGCCAACCATCCCGCACTGTTCTACACTGAAGAAGAGAGACCAGCACAACATTACTTAGAACGATATACCTGAAGTATTTAACACATTACATGCTGATGTTTAAACAAAATGGAGGTTCTCAATTCGATCGTTTTTATCATCCGATTTATGATTTTTTTGTATGATGTGGGATAGCCATTCCCGCACTTAAAGTAAATCCTGTTTATTTGTTGTTGTTTTTCTTAAAAATGTACAAGTTGATTTTTTTTTGAACTAACTAACATTGAGACACACTGAAAACTAACATTGAGTTTTGTTTAAAAAAAATCACATTAAAATTATATCCATATGTTTGACATTTTGAATCCAACAATTCCAAAAATTTACTTCCAAATAGGGTGTCGTGGTACATACTTTATTTTTCTTAATTTATGATTTTCCTGAGATGTTTTTGTAAATATTACTGTATATTTAAGGTCAATGTGTAATATTTCAAATGAATTTGATGCTTTTAATTTTTTTTGTTTTATTTTTTAACCCTTTGACTGCTATAATTTTTTTACTTTATTAGAAATAAAGCGTGTTTTTAACGATCCTGTCGATTAAAAGTACGCAACGCAGCTGTAATTGAGAATGTCTATGGGCATCTGTCGCTTCGCTATTTTGGCGGTTTCGGCGTTATAAAAAAAACCTACATAAAAGGTAGACAGAACAAGGATTTAAAATGATATACTGTGGTACATATGAAATTTTTTGTATATTTTATTTGATTGCGTTTTACAAGATGATTAAATTATAATTCTCATCATAATAAAATTATTATTTTTAATAATATGCATTTGTACAATTTTATCTATGCCTACCTACATATACGCTACCTCTAATATATTATACACTGCTAATATACAACAGGTTTTTACATATATATCTTAATTACTTATCATTTAATACATTTATGGTTTAGAGAAATTTCATACATGTTCCAAATAAATAGGAATCTTCATAGAATGGAAGTATAAAAAGTTGATTTTGAATAAATAGATGTAACGCTGAAAAGCTGGAAATAAATGTACAAAATAATATACAAGAGTGGTACAAAAACCCAGTTAGTCAATAAAAGTAAAGTGAAATCTTTTATGAATTCCCTAAAACTTGCACTAACTGTACAAAAACATATTGTTTTCTCTGTCTTTTTCAAAGATTATGAGAGATAAAAATATGCTTTTATACAAGTAGCGAAAACTCATAGATTTATTATACCACAGATTAATATATGTACAGTTATAAATGGCCAGTATGTAAAACAGTAATAAAACACTAAGTTGTGCGTTTGGTTTAGGCTTTTTTCTTCTAACATGGTCACCCTAACTTAGGGTAGGCTCCGAGCCCCTCGGTGGGGACATATAGTGAGCTGGTAATGATGGTATATTTTTAACGCTCTTGATCCTTTAGCCCGATAAACTCAGTTTTAACTGATCGTATAAGGAGGACCTAATTATTAAATTAGAACCATATTTGTAGGTAGCATGGTTCATTGTTATTCTAGGTTCACGGTGTAAAAAACAGATATATCAGGAAATTTCTTTGGCCTTTTAGATATTAACAGCCTATTAAATTTTAGTAAGGAATATTTACGGATTGGTAAAAATGTCTGTAAAGACATAACGACGTTTTTTTTCGTATAAAAGATAACTTGGTAAGTTGGCAGTGAAAGTATTAACTCGATGTTCAAATTTTTCTATATAATCAAGTTTTTAGATGTACAGATATCCAATCCATAAAAAACAACGTACTTGTTGCTTGTTGCAAAAATTTATAAAACTGGACGGACAACTCAATTAGAGGCATCTGTGTATCCAGCAAACACGCTAATTCTGGAAAATTCCATTAGAATTAAAATAACAGCAGCCTTGGTTTATTTGTATATTTTTAACATTTAATAGAAACTCTTTTATATATTTGTCTCGTTATTGGCAGTCTATGTTGATGAATGTTCCTATCGCAGTTTTCTTTGGTTATATTTCTCACACAAATCAAAATACACTCAATATACTACGTTGTAACCTATACAAATGCAGTGCACAAAACAATGTGCATTATGTTTTCATCGATGATATTTATTCCTAAAATTAAGTACAAATTTATCTATAGTTACAGCAATTCCATTTGTCCTTATTAGATATGTTTTTGCGCGGCGTACTTACGCTTTAACAATTATTTTATATTCATTGTCTTTGAATCAAACAATACGCGGTATTTGAGTTGGGAGGAAAGAGAGAGATTACGATTTGTAAAGCGTTATCTCTGTCTATTGCTATGTAATGTGCCGTCAGTTAAGAAGAGCAATGTGCGACAGAGAAAGCGCTCTACAAACAAATCGATTTGAGCAATGTGCTCTTCTACCAGATGTGCCAACTTAAATGCCGCGTACTGTAGGAGATTTACAGTTTAATTAATCGTTAATTATCTAGCTAGCGAACATAGAACAATTATTTACACACTAATCGTGGATTTAAATTGCCGAAATATTACGCAAATATATTACTATCGCATTTTGGTTATCAAGAATGATAGAGATGACAATATACAATGTGAATTGTTTCGGCAATTTTAACCAACGATAAAGTTCTATAGCGTTCCAGACGCATCTTTAACACAACCGCTGCCAAAAGCGAAGCGCGAACTTCACGCGTACTTTTATATTCTTTTATTATTTCATAGTACAAATGTCACTCTTTTTATGTTAAATTTTATAACCGTAATATAATTTATGTAACAAAAATTACTACTGATTTTAACACTGTACATGCCATACTTTTGTTCCACTAATTCGCCACCACTGGAATAAAATTAAGGCAAACTAATTGCGAATCGGCAGTGAACGTGTTAATACAAAGTGTCATTTGTACAATGCTACAATATAAGGAGAACGATGTAGTTACTAAGTCATATCTTAATATCGACATTTTCAAGCAAAGCTATCTGATCCTAGGCGCTTACAATGTACTTCGATGTGGAAGAATTATTTTAAATATTCCACTATCACATGGTTTATGAAATAAATACATTACTCCGGCTTAAGAAAATTATTTCTTCGATGACATTTTTTGATACTATTCCAATGGCTTACAAAAATGTTTGTGTATATGCTTTGAAAACGATTCTGAAAAACCATAACATAAATTCTTTAAAAAACGTTAACATAAACGATACCAAGTTTCACGAATTTAGTACACGTTCTGTATTGTCTCATATTAATATTGAATACTACAATACAAAAAGCTTCGTTTTGTTAGCAACACTGTTGGTTGCAATTACAGTTTTATTGTGGGACGTTAACTATCATTTCATTGGTCTATCTCAAAACCATTATCCACTGTACTAGACTCATCTAGTATTCGCACGAAACATCACAAAATAAAGTATTAAAATGTGTTAGTCGTCTTATATGTGTAGTGCGGGCAGCGCGGGCGCCAGGGGTGTGAGGGGCGTGGCGGGCGCGGAGGGCGGCACGGTGGTGGCGGGAGTGGCGGGGGTGGCGGGCGAGAGCGTGGGGGGCTCCGCGGCGCGGCAGAGCGCGCGGCGTAGCTCTTGCGCGCGCGCAGCTAACGTCCGCGCGGCCTCCGCCATCTCGGCGACCGCGCTCGCGCACGGGAACTGCTGCGCCGCAGCTTTCGTCTTCGCCACCGTCACCGCGAGCGCATCAGATAATGCGTCTGAACATCGCAATGCTTGGGATTTTAGACCTGCGTGTTGAGCGCTCCTGGGGAAATAGATTTCTTTGATTAATTATTGGAAAACCAAATAGTTCTGTAGCTGTTGCTCACGACTTTGTCAGCGCGGATTAAAAAATATAGCCTCTGTTTCTCACTGAAAACGTAGCTTATTATGGTAAAGAAATTTTAACATTGGCCCAGTAATTTGATTGTTATTTCAATATATACGAAAATACAAATCTTTCCTCTATATACTATTAACTTTCGCCCGCGACTCTGTCCGCGTGGACTTAAAAAAAAAACAAAAGTGAGTAGGCTATGTGTTCTTTCAGACTATCCTCTACATCTATACCAAATTTCGTCGAAATCAGTTCAGCCGTTTAGGATGCAAACTCTAACAAACGTCCAAGTTTCGCATTCTTATGAAAAGTATGATTAGTATAGTTATAGATTTTGAATCATTTGAAACTAACGTGAGTAATATGAGGTGTCATACCTGTGCACGGTGTCGCCGACATGCACGATCCTGTGCGCGCTGAGAACGACGAACTTGCCGTGCGCGAGGAAGACGTCCGGCGGCTGGCCCATGTCGATGGTGCGCAGGAAGGCGTCGACGGCAGTGGCGAGGTGCGCGCCGTACGTGGCGGTCTGCGCCGCGTAGAAAGCTGCCAGCTGCCGGTCGTCCGCCGGCAGGAGCGTCGCCGCCGCCACCGCGCTCACCTATCAAAGTTACATTTTAATTGCTTTCAATTTATCATTAGTAAACTAATTTGCCTCGACTAGATTAGAAATAACTAAAAACATTTGTTTTCTGCTTTTTTTATTTTTTTTTTATTTTTGCTTTTTGTCTTTGAAGCTTCAAGCAAATGTGAGGAACCATTCTTTTTCAGAATGTTCTCTCCATCAAAAAACTTATTTTACAGAAGACCATGACGGATCTCATTTGTTACATAATAGTGGCCCTTTTGAGTCCTGTGGCTACATTTGGTTAAGACTGAAACCAAGGATTTGTGTATGTAATTCTGATTTTATAGCTCTCAGCAATTGACCTGATTTTCTGATAGACGGTGTTCAACTAGTTGCGTTAAGATTGTATAATTTACGCTTAGTTCTGATTTGAGAAATTAGAGATTTAGTTATCGTTACCTCTCCGGCGTGGTCGGCGTCCCGCAGCAGGGCGTCGAATGAGGCCCGCAGCTTGTCTGGCAGCGCGGCGCGAATCTCCGCGTGGCGGCGCGAGGCGGCCGCCCGCGACTCCAGTCGCACGTAGTCGTACTCCTCAGTCCATTCGTGTTCCGGCGCCAGTGATCGCCTGATTAAATACCTCATTAAATACGACTTCTACTTGTATGGTAAGACTACTTGCTTCGTTGCTACTTGTTCCGTTTTCCTAACCAAAGTTACCATTTTTTTCTACCGATTTTTAATTCATCGCGGACGAAGTTGCGAGCAACAGCTAGTTTACCATAACTAAATAGTAAGATGCAATCTCAAGGTTAAAAAGTCCATACCTAAATAGTAGGGAAGCATTGCCGTGTATGAAGGAGGCCGCGCGGCGGACGTCCTCTGTGAGCGAGCGCGCGCAGGCGACGAGCTGGTCGAGCGCGTCCTGCGAGCCATCGGTGGGCTCGCGGTCGCGCTCCAGCCGCTCCGGCGCCCAGTCGCCCGCGTCCAGCGCGCTCGTCGCCTCGTGCGTGATGCGCTCCGCGTCCTTCAGCGCCTTCACCAGCGGCCGCAGCTTCACTGCGATACCTGAACACGGAACGATGCTTAATAAGAAGGGTGATCAAATTCTTCTATAATCTTACTAATATTAGAAATGAGAAAGTTTATTAGATGAATATTTGTTAGAGTTTGTAGCCATAACGGCTGAAGGGCGTCGCTGAAATTTGACATAGACGTAGAGACCTCGGAAGAACATATAGGAAACTCGCTTTTGTTTTTTTTTTTAATTCCACGCGGACTGAGTCGCGACCGAAAGCTAGTAGTTAATAAGGAAGTCTGTTAGGAAGCTTCATGATCAACTGCATCGATCCACTCCTTAATGTTTTCCCATCATAAAAATTCTTTTACGCTCGAAGACATGCCGTAATCCGTCAATTTTGTTTTTTTTTTTATTGTAAAGGGAGTCACTGTAATATGCTTTTCTCAATTTACTTTAGTGTGTGTATAGTACTACATGTGTTAATGAAATCGTCTTTGGTTTTATGGTAAAAAGTTTGTACCTTTGTCTTGTGCATCATGTGCGTTGGCGAGTGTGGCGTCCGCGAATACGGCGAGGTCGTGTAGCGCGGCGCGCAGCCGGGCGCCCGCCACGCGCACGTCGAGCACGCGGGGCCGCAGCGCGCCGCGCCGCCGCCAGCCCGGCGACACATGCGACAGCAGCCGCGACACCGCCGCCGACGCCTCCTCCTACAACACGTCACACATCAGAATATTAACTTAATAAAAAAATCGAAACTCAGCTCTATTTTCCTAAGTGTGTGGCTCTATATATTTTTTTTTTATAATATAAGGTGGCAAACGAGCAAGCGGCCACCTAAATCCACCGAAATGGAAAGCGACCGCTGCCCATAGACGTCTGCAATTGCAGATGTGTTGCCTACCATTCATCGACGGAGGAGGAGACGCACGTAAAGAGGACATTTCCCCTTTATATGCGTCTCCTCCACCGTCAAATCCACTTTTCCTTTCAATC